CATACATGTTTTATAGGCTCGGTCTTTTTTTCAGTTAGCCCATAAATTCATAATACTAGGATAATTAGAACAATGAGATTATGAAGTTATTCATTTTAAAAATCTAGACTAATAATTCAATTCCAAGCATGCCCTTTTGCATTGAAACTTAAATTTTTAAAGGTTTTACATTGAAGATCTAGAGGCATTGAAAAAGAGGCAAAAATTATATTATGCTCTTATACTATTAATTTCTTTGTTATTAGAACCCTTCTAACCAAGTACAATGCAAACCATTTTCTGTATTTAAAAAATAGAGACATGTTAGTCTTTTTATATAATTTAGTTATCCAGCTAGTCTAGTAACATTAATTAACTTACGTTCATTTAATCAGATATTAAGATACGTAAATTCGTTTTTGAAAATATAATTTTTTTAAAAAATATTTTTTCTAAAAATTGAAAATAAATAAAAAGAAAAGACAATTAGAATGATTATGGAATATTTTCTAAAAATAATCAATATTTTTTAAAAATAATAAAAAAGGTTTTTTTCTTTTTTGTTTATTTATTTTTTATTTTTAAGTAATAATCAAATTTTCTTATCTTCAACTCTAGAAAAAGATTGTTTACTTTTAAAAACTATGATTATAATTGTAAAAAATAATTAATATTATTCAGAAATAAAAAAATATTTTTTCTTTTCATTTTTAAATAATAATCATTAATCATTATAATTTTCAATTTTTTAGAAAAAGATTGATTATTTTTTCAAATTATCCACTCATCAACGGTGGAGTCGTAAAGCCTTATAGTTATGCAGGTAAGATTTGCATCATTTTATCGTATCTTGGACTCGATTTTAAGGATGCTATAGAACTGTCAACTATCGCAACCATGTTAAAGAGGAGTCTTGAGGCCTTATGGTTATGCAACATGTGCCTGTCACAGTCGTGAACACTCAGCGCTCGCAGAAGGATCTTGTGGTTTCCACGGAAAGCGAGATACTCACACACCACAGTACCTTCAATATGGACTCAAATTAAAAATTCTAATAAATTTTTACGCATGTGAAAATACATATGAATTATCATAATTGAGTATAATTCTAACCAAACGCAAAATAAAGTATTTCCAGATCACTATGTATAAGGAGCCTGTCACTTTTGTTTTTCTTTAATTTTATAATTTATTGATGGTCTGTTTGAACCAATTCAAATTTAACATTATAATTGAACTCGATGGATGGATTGATCAAATTCAAGTGTTTGAATTAAAAAAATATTTCACCTGAGTTCAATTATTTTCGTCTCCTATATTATCTTTGTTCCTTTCTTTTTCTTCAAAAAATTCCTCAAATGTTCCATAGTCAAAGAATATTCAGAAACTAAAAACACAACCAACAAGACATGAGATCAGCTTCTCATTGCACTTTAAAAAACTCAAATACAACCTGTAAGGTAGGTCAAGATGACTCTGTCAATTCACGGTCTCGCACACATAAATCACAATTTTGATTTTTTTATTTTGAAGCTGTGAGGTACCGAATTATTGTTTTTTTAGATGGAAAAGGAAAAAAAAATAGAGTTTATACTAAAGAATATTCTCTTTAATTTATTTCACTAATTTAGAATTCCATTTAAAATTTAAAACGGTACCTTTTCAAAGATAATGTAATTTTTAGGTATTGAGCTCAGATTTTATTGCGCAGGTATTCAGTGAAGACTTTATTAAGCAAACAATGTGGTTTTTTTTTTAAAGGGTTCATAAATGATTAAATAGTTCGGTTTTGTATAAATTCAATTTGATTTTTGATTAATCGAATTAAAAAAAACTAAAACTGAAATCGAATCGAAATAAATTCAATTTGAAACTAAATTATTTCGATTCGGTTCATAAAAATTTAATTTTAATTGATGTTTTTTAATTAAAAAAAATTTAAATATAGGTTAGGTAAATATTTAAAGACTTTTTATTTTTGACCGTATGAGAAGAAGAAGGAATGAAGAATGAAGAAACGCAGCTGAAAGGTGAAAACTAACTTAGGTTAGAGAGTTAAGAACTTCAGCGATAAAAATTTAATGGTGGTAAGAAGTTTTTTTTTTTTTTAGTTTTTACTTTTAATATATTCAACTTTTTATGGAAACCAAATTTTTTTCAAAAAAATTGAATAAATCGAAATAATTTCAGTATTTTAGTTTGATTTTTAATTTTATAAATATAAATTTAACATTAAATTAAAACATATAATTCGATTAAGTTAGATTCCATTTTTCGGTTAACCAACCAGCTCACCCTCACTTTTCATATGGTTTTTAGGATTTGAATAATAGCAGAATACGTGGCCTCTCTGCCTGGATGTGTAAGTTAGCGAGAGAAGAGAGAGAAAGACGTGAAGCGGACAATGACACGTACGGTAGTGCGTACGACACGTTGCCGCCATCCTTATAATCATATCTTCCTTCCCTGTCAGATCATGCAAACATTCACAAACGCAAGTTTAGTCTAATGGTTAGTAAAATAAAGCTAGAATTATATTGATTTGAAATTTTTTTTAATCGTTATATAATAGAAAGGACTACCTCTTTATGGAGCTTAAAAAGACCCTTCGACCTCCAATGAATGCAAAAAATAATAAAAATCATGCATATGTTTTTTTCTTTGTTTCTTTAAAAACAAGTAATTTACAAGATTAATTAAAATATAATAATTCTAAATATTCTGTTAAAACCCAAAGAAATAAAAATCATACTTATAGTTATCTCCCACGATTTTTCCTTTTCGCTTCACCATTTCAAACTAATGGAGTTTCTTAGTAAAATTATAAGCATACATGTTTTAGATGCTCGGTCTTTTTATTTTCAGTTTGACCATAAATTCATAATACTAGGATAATTAGAAAAGTGAAATTATGAAGTTATTCATTTGAAAATCTAGACTAATAATTCAATTCCAAGCACGCCCTTATGCATTGAAACTTAAATTTTTAACGGTTTTACGTTGAAGATCCAAAAGCATTGAAGAAGAGGCAAAAATCATATTTTGCTCTTGTATTATTAATTTTTTTGTTATTGGAACCCTTCTAACTAAGTACAGTGCAAACCAAATTTTATATTTAAAAAAATAGAGGCGTGTTAGTCTTTTTATCTAATTCAGCTAATTAACTAGTCTAACAACAACGTTAATTGACTTACGTCTATTCAATTAGATGCTGATATATGTAAATTCATATTTGAAAATATAATTTCAAAAAAGAATCATTTTTCTAAAAATTAAAAATATATAAAAAGAAAAGACGATTAGAATGATCATGGAATATTTTCTAAAAAACAACTCATATTTTTTAAAAACAACAAAACAATTTTTTTGTTTATTTTATTTTCATTTTAAATAATAATTAAATTTTCTTATTTTCAACTTTAGAAAAAAAGATTGTTTATTTTTAAAAATTATGATTATTATTTTAAATAATAATTTATATTATTTAGAAATAAATAATTATTTTTTCTGTTCATTTTTAAATAATAATCATTTATCATTATTATTTTCAATTTTTTTCCAGAAAAGATTGGTTATTTTTTCAAATTATCCACTCATCAATGGCGAGTGTTATACTAGACTCTCTCTCTCTCTCTTAAAACTAACAACTAAATGTTCATATACATCTGCTTGTAAAAAAGAAAAAAAAAGGGTTAAAAAAAAACTCACACTAGATACATCAAAACTGGCCTTGAGAAAATCTGATATGGAAACAAAAAGATGTCTGAATAATACTGTTTTGTTTTTTGTTTTTATTTCATGCATAAATGGTAATGTTAATAATTTCATATAAAGCAGGTGACTAATGACTAATGAGATTGCAAAATCTATAAATGGTATGGTATAATGCCGTTCATTTTTACAAGTAAAAACGATAGCAATAGACCACTAATACACGGTTCGCTTTTACACGAAAGCAGGGTAACATGCGCGTACTTGTCTTTTGCTGCCTCACCACACCAAATACGTTAAGTAAATACCTAACCTTATTCTCTTCCTCATTATCGTTTATCACGGTGTCTATTTCAGTCCCCACTTCCTCCCAGTTTCCCCCACCACAAAAACAACGTACTGTTATATCATTCTCTCTCTTATTTCTGTGGCTTTTGTTCTGCTCTCTTTAATTTAATTTATTAAAACTAGCTTGAGATATTCTCTCAAGGTTTCATACTGAAACTTTTTATTCCTGTACTTCTCCGTTCAAATCTGGCGCAATTCAGCTTCAATAGGTATGGTTGTTTCTACTCTTCCCTTCTTCATTTCACAATTTTGCTTTACCTCTTAAAGAATTATCTAACTGTGCATACAATTGATTGTTTTGTGAATCTTGAATCATCTTTAATTGATGAATGAGAAAATACAGTTTTCCCTTCCATATTGATTGAATGGATTTCTGAAATTCTCTGCCAATGGCCTTTTGGAACTTATTCCTTGCTTGATGGGGTCTGGAATTTATTTGAACGTATTTACATGTTTTGCTTAATGGGGTCTGGAATTTTCTCGCGTGTGTTGTTTTGTTTAATTGAATCTGTTGCCTACATACATACATACATATATATATATATATATATATATGGCAGGGAAAGTTTTGAAGAAAGATTCTGTGAAGCTTCTGGAGAGAAGCTGCTGCTCATACAACTCTGGCCGACACTCGAGTGATATTTGCTCAAGCCAGAGCAAGTGTTCTCCGTTTGTTTCCCAGTCCTCCAACATCATTCTCGTCATCATTATTATGCTATTGTCCTCGGTCATTGGTTTGGCGACTTCCTGTTGATTACGGTTAACATTTGATGATTCAATCAGCTGGTGTCTGGTCTTCTCTGCAGTATTTAGAGATGTAAACATCAACAACATAAATTTTAACATTTTGTTGTTAGTAGAAGAAGCAGAATAGAATAACAAGGAGTAAAAGACAATTCGGGAGTGCATATCTTATTTGGGCTCCTTTTGAGGAAATTTGAGTTTGGCCATTTTTTTCCAAAATGATGAAATTCAACTGCTGCTCTGTTCTGATTGGGAGGAAGAAGCAAGAGAAGGTGAGAATTGATTTGAATGTGGATTGTGCAAATTTTGCTGTTCGACTGTGTTTTGGTAGTTTTTGATGTACTTGCTTTAACTTTCCTTTGTTGGATTTTAGGTTGACAAGCAATCATCAAGAACTGCCGACTTCAACACTGCGCTTAAAACCATGAAAATCAGGCTTGAACACCCAGTAGAACCTTTTGAAAGCGATGAGTTGAAAACCACATCTTTTAGTGTGTCATTACCTTTCGATGTTGAGAAGGATTCAATCAATGTCCAGTTAATGAGCCATGAGAGTCATGTTGTGGATGAAGCAGCAGAAGTAGCATACGAAGGCGAAGATGAGCATGAAGAGAATGTTTCAATGAAGAGGGATTTATCTGACTTTGATCTCCAATCCCATGTGGCCAGTGGTGGTGAAGAAATGTCTTTTCCTAGAAATGCAAAGCTGGATTCCGCTGATTCACTTGATAGCATGAGCAATGAACTATATGAAAAGAAAGCTGAGAAAAAAGTTGATGAAAAAGGTATTCATGTGATTCACAGTGGACATGTTAGTGATCCTGGTATTGGGAAGGCCAAGTTATGGGGTTTGCCTAAGCTTAAACGGTCCTGTTCTAATCTGGAAACAAGCAAATTGCTAAGAAAAATTGCCAATCAGTTGCCTCTAACATCTCAATATTCTGAAGAATTGCAGGGGCTGGCTGAGAAATTGAGAGATCCCGGCAGCCCCACATCTGTAATTAGCCATTGCAGTGCTGACAGAGTGATGTTAAAGAAGCATTCATCTAGCCAAGTTCTACCCTCTAGGAGTAGAAGACTGTGGTGGAAATTGTTCCTCTGGAGCCACAGAAACCTTCACCAACCCTGGTCTGTAAAACCACAGCCTCAGGCTGTAAGTAAGATTTTGAATCAGCAAGGCGGTTACTCTTCAGATACACTTGAACCGAACACAGCCCTGAGCAAAATGCAATCACCTGGGTCATTCACCGGAGAGTCAGTGAACAAGGGCCATAGCAACAATGAAGAGGGCAATCAGAGCTGGAATGGTTTTCATGCTGGGATTTCTGGTCTGTGGCCCCAGAACCAGTGGGTTGCTTTCTCAATAGAATCATCCCCATTTTCAAGAGTGGATGAATGGGTGAAAGATCTTGAGACCCAACCGCCTCCTCCAGATGCCTATGATGATAATGATGATGTTGAGAGTGACGGCAGCATTGTCTTCCCACCCTCTCCTGATACTGGTAGATCACCAGGAAGAACCACAGCTCGCCCAGATTTTAATCTTTCAGAGGAGATTTTGCATGCCAATAGTGCGATCCAGTCACTTAATTCTTCCTCAACCGTAGCCCACATCACAGGCATTGGCTTAAAAGCTATTCCCGCAATATCACGTTTCTCCAGTCTTCGATCTGTTAACTTATCAAACAACTTCATAGGTATGCTTTTAGCAGAAGCAAAATGTCAATTATTAGAAGGAACATATTGGTAATAACTTAGCTGCGTTTGTTCTTCCCCTGTTTGCAGTCCACATTACCCCGGGATTGCTGCCAAAGGGCCTGCACACACTCAACCTATCGAGAAACAAGATCAGCACAATTGAAGGACTTAGAGAACTCACCCGACTGCGGGTACTCGATCTCAGTTACAATCGCATTTCTCGAATTGGACAAGGTATGTTTTTCAAATAAAACTCATGCTACGAGGGCCATTTTAAATCATGCAGTTCTTTCCTGAGAACTAATACTTCGTTAATTAGTCATGGTTCTATGAGTTTATTCTAGATCTACATTATGTCAGGGTTGTCGAACTGTACAATAATCAAGGAACTCTATCTTGCTGGGAACAAGATTAGTGACGTTGAGGGGCTGCACAGGCTCCTGAAGCTTACAGTCTTAGACCTGAGCTTTAACAAGATAACAACAACAAAAGCTCTGGGCCAGCTTGTTGCGAACTACCAATCACTGCAAGCTCTGAATCTCCTGGGCAATCCGATTCAGAGCAACATTGGTGATGACCAGCTTCGCAAAGCAATTTGTGGTCTCCTCTCTAAGCTAGTGTACCTGAACAAGCAACCCATCAAACCTCAGAGAGCACGAGAACTTCTGACAGATAGTGTTGCCAGAGCCGCCCTTGGAATCAGCAGCAGCAGGAGCTCTCGGAGAAAAGCAGTGAAGAGAGCGACCTCCGGCGGTTCAATCTCCAGCATGCACAGGGGCAGTGTTGGGGGTGGGCAGAAAAGCAAGAACAGGTCGAAGAGCCGAACTCATAACCTAAAGACAATGTCCTCTGCACATGCCTCTTCATCCCGTTAATTGTTTCCCTATCCAGAGATTTTTATTTTATTTTATTTTATAATTTGTCATTGGTTTTTGAAAGTGCTTTTCCCTTCTCTGTTTTTTAATCTACCTGAAGACTGGTTTCAAGCAGTAACATCTTTTTCGTTCAATAGGAGATTTCTTGTTTTCTGTATTGTATGTGTTTTTGGTAGTGGTAGTTTTTTTTTTTCTTTTCTAATTGGTTCGATAGTATCTTGTACTATGCGTTGATCATAGACCTAGAACGAAATTTTTTTTAATTCGAGTATGATAATTATTTTTTGGTTTGTAATAAGTCTGTCAATCTCATGTGAATCCTTTGATCAGAATTCGAACACGTTTTTTATACTAGATGCTAACAAGGCTCAATAATTGAAAAGCATGTGGATCCTTTGTCAATGATGTCCTTTTCTGACTAACATGACTATGTGAAATTACAAAATATCATAATTCCTAAATTGAACTTATTTCTTCGCCTTCTCTCAGGCATTAGGATCTTTGATGGTTGCCCCTCCAACTTCTTCCCTCTAATATTTCTTTCTGGACAAGTATTAGCATTGAACTCTGACACCTCTGGGAACTGAATTGGCTCAACTTTGCAAGTACCCTGCATCTGCAGATTCTGTTGATCATTAGCAAGCAGACCCAGCTCTTCATCCTCCATCATGGACATTGGAGTGTCCTCTTGGATAAGAAAGGTTGGTGTGTCAAAATGTTATAGGAAGAATTAGTGAATTGTGGGCTGAAGAACTGTCAAAGAGTTATATGGAGTAATGCGCAAAAGGCAAGATAAAAGGCTTTGGAGGTCAAGAGAAGGGACCAAGTAGAGCCCCATGATTGGATGTGGTTGGTTTGGTCTACAGCTTTTTTGATTTTGGGGGGTTTTTTTCTTTTCTTGAAGGGGAACTGGTTTTTGATGGGAGGATGGAAGGCAGAGGAGGAAAAATTAAAGGGCGAGATAGAGGAAACGGGTTGTTTAATGATTTCATCATTTGGTATATGCAACTTGCTTGGGCTTTGATCAATAAAATCGAAAGATTTAATTATAAATTAAAAAATAATTATGATGCTTAAATTAAAAAAAAAAAAATTAGTTCGAAATATAAGTCTATGATCAACATAGTATATAACATACTACCCAACCAATTAGTTTTTTTTTTTTTTTTCAGCAACAAATTATAACTTTATTATGTTCTTTACGGTGACAATTAGATGTTATGCATTGTAGACCTTTTGCAGCTAAACCCCATAAGAATTGACACATATCAGATGTGGTTTCACTCCACCTCCGTTGTTTTTGTTGGGACCATTGCACGTCAATTACAACTTTCAAAGGAATTTATTTCTGTTGGCACATCAATTCTCATATAATTTGGTTTGTGCTTCATATTCGTACATGGAAGTAAAGAAGGGTTGAGATTTGGAAAACAATATTTGGAGTCACCACCAACGCTGTCAAATCTGCTAAACTAAACAACATTTAACAACAAAAGGAAAAAAAATGACAAGAAAAGGAAGCAGTGAGAGACGCTAATCTAGGTGTTCAAGATCCAATTATGTTTAGCTGAGTTTGAGTTATTGTATTATTACATTATTTATAATAAAAGAAGTATTTCTATTAATTTTTGTCATTTATATTTATTGATTGAATAGAATTAGATAGAAAATCATATGATATACATTTGCATTAGTGATTAATCGAAATATGTGAGACAAATACCAATATATATAAATGATATCATTAAATGTCCCAAGTCATAGCATTGTTAAGAATGGACATTGACTATATACATTTAAACTTGTGAGTGTTATGCTCATGCTCTACGATAGCGAGTAGGAGATCTCACATCTATTGGCATAGTGATGTCAAGGCAAGCATTTAGGTGATTTATGTTAGAGAAAATATCACCGCATTTGACTCGTCATGAGAACCCATTTGATTTAGTCTATGAGAATCTCATCCGAGATGGGTATAGCCGATCTTTAAACTTAAAGTCATCATAGTTATCTCATTAGAGGATTTATGCACCGTGACACTTATTTCGATGAACCCGAGTAAAGAGTTGCACGTGAGCAATTCATTGGGTGCACTAGGAATCTAATGAAGATAAATGGATGACTAAGATAAGACATGTCATTCCTTGTATGTTAAAGGAGTTATCACATTGCACTTCGATGAATGTCTCTTCAAGAAATCTATGGTCATAATGGGAGTATACCAATAAAGCATAGTTGATTTACTCTAAGAGTTAAGACATTTGAGAATCGAAAAAAACTTATGTGATCACAATCGAACAAGACTTATAACAAAGTTCGAGATCACACAATCGAACAAGACTTATAACAAAGTTCGAGATCACACTCGTAATAAATTGATATAAGGACTCGAATTGTATGATACTCATGCTCGTGAAAGATAACGGATTAATTAATACTCCCGAAGAATTAGGTAGTGATAATGTTTTACTAGAAGCCAATCTTGACTCGTATATCAAGAGATAAAAGGGATGTTTTTTATTCTTGATACATTGTTAACATATCTAGGAGCACTGGTGAGTACATGCATAAGTTTAAACATTCATATGATCAAAGAGAAACAAAGATATTGGAAAAAGTTTTCAATTATGAAAGTTTTCTAAAATGGAAAGTTTCTTATTTTAGAAATCAGTTTCCTAATTTGAAAGTTAATCTTTTTAAGAAAATAACTTAAAAGGAAAATGAGTTTCCTAATTTAGGTTAAAGGGTATTTTGAAAAATTATTTCCTAATTGGGCCACCTAAAACTATCTAAGTTTATTTATTTAGATAGTCTAAATTATGCCAAAATGGTTTTAGGCCAATAGGTTTAATGAAAGCTTAAAAGATAATTTGATGGGAGGATAAACAAGAACCTTATTGGCTAAAGATGAATGTTTTATAGATAAAGATAAAAAATCCACATGTTAAATAACTCTTAATTCTTGAAGGATTAGGAAGCAACAACCAAAAGTCCAATAAGGATTAGTTGTCGCCCCCTTTTCCTTGTCCTTGGAGGACAAGGAAATTCTCCCCTTATAAATAGGAGGAGAGATGCGGCAAGTAACTTTTATGAGAGAGAGAATTCGAAAAAAATTGAAAGAGGATTAGGGCACAAGACCGGGAAGGAAAAAAAAGAAAAAAAATAGTTTTCTCCCAAAAACGCCTAGCATGCTACCTTCTCTCTCTCTCTCTGGGTTGTCGTAAAATTATCCAGATTAGATTTCTATAAAAAAACGCTAGATAAATCGAAAAGGTGAAGCTAACACTCTATCAATTTTGAGTGCTTCTTTATGGTCATTTGGACTACATGGATAATCAATAGTGCTCTATAAATAGGAGGTGAGATGCGGTAACAAGTAACTTTTATGAGAGAGAGAATTCGGTAAAAAAAAAAAGGATTAGGGCACACGACCAAGAAGAAAAAAAAGAAGAAAAAAATAGTTTTCTTCAAAAAACGCCCAAGCACGCCACATTCTCTCCCTCTCTTTTGGGTTATCGTAAAATTATCTCGATTAGATTTCTATACGAAACACTAGACAAATCGGAAAAAGTGGAGCTAGTACTCTATCAATTTTTAGTGCTTCTTTGGATTGCGTGGATAATCAATAGAGGTCAAATACTTGGACGGATCCTTTCTTTGTTAAAGAATTTAGATCCGCACTACAAGAGGTAAATTCTCTATTCATTGCTTTATTTCATGAATATAGGGTTAGTTGATTTAACGACATGATCTTTGGCCCTTTAGGTGAAGAAAATTTTTGTTTTATTTCACACCTCTATAGGATGCATGATCCTTCAAGAGAAGTTAGATTGCGTAGATAATCAATAGAGGTCGGACGCTTAGACGGATCCTTTTTTTGTTAAAAAATTTAGATCTGCGCTATAAGAAGTAAATTCTCTATTCATTAGTTTAATTCATTAATATATGGTTAGTTGATTCAATAGCATAATCTTAGGCCTTTTAGATGAAGGAAATTTTTGTTCTATTTCACATCTTCATAAGATGCATAAAGTTGGTGAACTTTACTTTTCTCGCTTCCTTCCAAAACTAAGAAGCTTTTAAGGTCTGTTGCATTTCTTTTACAAAAAAATTTGAGGGAAAAAAAGAAAACATGATAGGCGAGAAGAAATTATACATTATATATTATACATAAAACTAAAGTAAAATAGATTGTTACTATTCATTTACTATTTGAAACACTTTTCAAACACACTCACATGCACTATTCCTTTCACCATGTAGTGGTATTTTTATAGTTTTCAAATATTTTTTAAACATTTATTATGAAAGTTTTCATAAAATTACACTTTGATCCTTCTTTTTTAAATACTATTTTTTCAATCCGTAAATATTTTTTATTTGGTTTTGGTCCCTCTTTTTATTTATTTTGATCACTTTGGTACCTTTTCTTTGATTTATTTTATTTTGGTCCCTTTTCTTTGATTTTTTTTAATAAAAAAATTTAAAAAAGTTTTCGTAACATTACACTTTAGTCTATTTTTTAAATATATTTTTTCAATCCACAAATATTTTTTGTTTGGTTTTGATCCCTCTTTTTTGTTTTATTTTGATCGCTTCGATCCTTTTTTATTTTTTTTATTTTTTCTCTATTTTTTTAATAAAAAAATTTAAGGCAAAAAAAATATTTAAAAAAAATTACAAAATAAGTTTTTAGTTAAAAATCCATTGGTTTTGACATTCTTTATACTTTTAAAAAAAATTTTAGTTTGTGGATAGAGATAAATAAATAATATTTTTTAATCAAAAACTTATGAAAAATATAAAGAATAGTCAATCAAATACAAAATTTTGATTAAAAAATTATAAAATTGAATAAATTTTATTTATTTTTGATTTGATGCATTTTAGTAGATGCACAATATATCATGAGACATCAAAATAAAATAATTTTTAAAAAATAATTTTATATATTTGGTCTTACCAGCAGCTTAATGCGAGTAAAAAGTCTAAAACATTCTAATCTGAAAACCCTTGTTTACGTGGATATTAAGTATGCAATGTAATGCTGCATTGAGATAACATCTGCCAATACCTCATTTTCACCACCAAGAAGATTCACCTATAATTAGTTAATAACCATTGCATAAACAATCCAATAGCACATTTGATATAACTATAAGCATCGTAAATCAATTACCGACGAAGCCAATTTTTTTAAACCTTTTAAAAATGAAAAATCCTTTTAAAAAATTAAGATTAATGTAAATACGAGCGTTGGGAGGCAGAAAAATTGATCCCAAACAAAAATATGACCCTGACATTGAATGTTCGTAATTTTCAGAACTCAGGACTTCAAATTATTCCACGTGAACCATTCTAGGAAAAGCGAAACGGGACCAACCTTTACATGAAGGGTGGGGCAAGTGATGTGATTAATATGTGAAAACTCATAATGCAGAGCAATTAATCGAAACTCCTGTCACAGAAGGATACCATACATCAAGCCACCATAACTTTCTACTACTGTCGACTCAAACGGTTGAACGCAAAAGTGCAATGAGATTATGGAGTTATGAGGATCAGAATTGAATAAGATTAGGGCATCAGTCGTCAATGAGATCCTTCAGGGAAAAGAGAGTTCAGCTTATCAACCATGTGGCAACTGCTCTAAACAAGCTTACCGGTAAAAACGTACCCAGAAGCCCAAACGAAAATCCTGTGATTGCGGTTTATAGTGTAATAAGAATGAACCGAAGACAAGTTAAGATTATTCCAGAAAAAAACGCAAGAGTTTCATACTATATGGACCACAGGATACAGATTTATCATGCATCAACAGGAAAATGCCGTATTTCTTAACATATGAACGACGTCATAACGGTATTGATCCATATCAGTACTCCAGAGAAGTCACAAGTTAAGATTCTGCCAACAAAAATCATCTCCATGATATTAAGAACTCGTTAAATATTATAAACACGGAAAGCATGATTCACCAAAGAATGCGATTCTCTGTGACACTATTTCCTCCATACACTAGAATCCAATTCACCTTCTTTCATTTGAGCATACTTATACAGCTTCTCGTTGAAAAACACTTGTGCATCCTTATCAATCAAAACCCCATTTCCATCATAACCATCTTTCAAAAACACAACCCAATTCATCTCTGTCCCCGCAAGATAAAACGTCCTGGGCTGCTTCTTAAGCATATCATATGTATGTTTAGTCAAGCAGAACTCCTCCTTAAACTCCACAATATGATGTATTGACGCCCTCATCTCCAAAGTCAAGCTCAAAAACTCATGCAAAACGCCAACCCTATACTTCTCCGCCTCCAAACTCCATAACTCCAATCTCTCCCCATCACTATACGGCGAAACCAATGGCAACGTATTCAATAAATTCAACCTCCTTGTATCCTCCACCTCCAAATCCAAATCCTTCCCATGCTTCACCGGAAACTTAAACGCCCTTTTCGCCTTCTCCTCATTAACCATAAACTCTTTCTCCAATTGACTCACAGCCAAACTCAGATCCCAATTCACTAATTCTAAAATCCTCTTCCCGTCACTCTCAACAAGTATTCTAAAATAATCAGGATATTTACCTACTCTATCTCTAAAATCATCGGGAATTCCAAACAATAAACGACAATGATGAATTTTACTCAAAGGAATCCGTTTATTCTTCGACATCATTAACAATTTACGCACCTTATTAACGCGGTCAATCTCCATTGAATCCATAATTTCCTTCTCTTCTTCCAGCAATTCCTCCATAAAATCTGTAAACCCGACCCACAATTTGTTATCAGTGTGGCGATAAGTTTGGAAAATGAGAGGGTGGCGTTGGAGGAAGCGGTGGATTTTTCGGCCGCGAGGGAAACCGAGTTCTTGGTGGAGCTTTCCAGCGTCATCAAGGCGGAGAATGCTCTCAGGCTGTTGACAGAGGAATTGTTTGGATTTGGTGAGAAATCGGAAGTAAGAGTCGCGTTCGAGGAGTGATTCAAATTGGTGGATTCGGGTTGATGGGTGTTGGACGGATTTGGTGCGTGGGGATTCGGGTTTTTTGCGCTTTTTCTTGTGCTTTTTTGGGGTTTTGGTTACAAGAAAAGATGTGGAGAAATGGGAGGAGAAGAAGGGAAAAAATGGGTTAGGATTAGGGTTTTGGAGGAGAGGAGGGGCTAGGGTTTTGGTAGAGGTGGATTTGAAGAGGATGAGGCGCCAAGCCATGGCAATGATTTTTGAAGATTGATCGGGAAAAGAATTTGTTGTGATGATTGGTTTTGATCAGGTGATTTTTGCCGTCTGATGGTAGGGAAAAACTTTATGGAGGGCCAAAAAAATCCGACCTGCCGGATTCGAACCAGCGACCTAAGGATGACTATTAGGATATTTGCCTACTACAGTCCTCCGCTCTACCAACTGAGCTAAGGTCGGCTGTTGGTTAGCTTTGGAAAGCTTTGTTAAAATTCAATGTATTCAAAGAACTTGATTTCACCTCATTACAAAAAATTCCAATGGACTGGTATAAAATTTAACTAAGTGAAAGGAAAGGAAAAATACTAGATGACCCAAAAACATCATGAACTTTACTTTCGCTCAAATTAATATAGGCCTATAACTTTTAAAATATTAATTTGACTATTATAAATTATTTTTAATAAATAATAGTTTTTTTTAATCATTTATCTGGTATTAACTATACTTGAAACGTAATCGCCTTAAAACATGAAACGTGACCTGCTAATCTAACAATCCTTTCTCGTTAAAGGCCAAAAAAAAAAAAAAAAAGAATTTGAATTTAATAATGGTAGGGCAGTTGGAACATTAAATGCCCAATTAATCCCGTTTCTCTCTCCTCAAAACGGAGACTCTCTTTTCATCCAATTCTCAAAAACACAATTGTAATAAAGTGATGATTTTTATGAAAAAAGAGTTTTTCATACTTTTTAAATTGAAACGGAACAGGAAGGTCACCACAAAAAAGGACATTTGAAGTCAAACAATCACTAAAATTTCACGAGGTTTATCGAGTTCAGGTTTATCATTTTATTTAAATCATTTTTATTTAAATTTATTCAAAGATGACTTGGATTATTGTGTTTTTAATTGTTTATTCTTTTTTATTTATAGTCAATATGAATTTTATCAATGTTGGGTGATGTCAACAGTTTAAAAATCTTTATTCTTTAAAAGATCTTTGATGTCGGGTAAAAATATTGGTATGTTACCCAATAACTTATAAATTTTATGGATCTTTTACGTGTGGTAGAATTTGTTGTGTTGTTTGGATTTTCGCAAAATTAGGTTTCTAAACTTTAGAGTTTCTACACTATTGTAATTGCGGTAAGGGCTCAATTTTTGAGATATTTTTTTTAGAGATAATTATTAGAAAAACCTTATAAAAAAAATCTTATATCTAAAAAACCTATAAATTTATTTGTAAATCTCTTAAGTCCAAAATAATATTTTTTCTTACAAAAACAATCGATAGTGTAGTGTTACACTATCGATTGTTTTTGTAAGAAAAAATATTATTTTAAGCTTGTGAGATTTAGAAATATTATTTTGTAACTATTACACTATCGATTGTTTTTGTAAGAAAAAATATTATTTTAAGCTTGTGAGATTTAGAAATATTATTTTGTATTGGGATATTTAAAAATAAAATAATGATTTTTTTAGATAGAATATTTTTTAGAAGGTATTTTGATAATTATACTAGTTTAAATGAAACCATTATCTTTCAAGATATATATTTCTATAATGGATGATCATGTTTTATTTAATCAATGCACCGAATTATATTATACATTCATCTTGTAATTTAATTTAATTTAATTTAATTTAATTTAATTTAGAGTTTCTACACTATTGTAATTGAGGTAAGGGCTCAATTTTTGAGGTATTTTTTTAGGGATAATTACTAGAAAAACCTTATAAAAAAATCTTATATCTAAAAAATCTATAAATTTATTTGTAAATCTCTTAAGTTTAAAATAATATTTTTCTTACCAAAACAATCGATAGTTAACACTTCGATTGTTTTAGTAAGAAAAATATTATTTTGAGCTTGTGAGATTTAAAAATATTATTTTGTATTGGGATATTTAAAAATAAAATAATGATTTTTTTTTATAGAAGATTTTTTAGAAGGTATTTTGATAATTATACTAGTTTAAATGAAACCATTATCTTTCAAGATATATATTTCTATAATAGATTATCATGTTTTATTTAATTAATGCACCGAATTATATTATACATTCATCTTGTAATTTAATTTAATTTTTTAATAAAAAAATGTTGAGTTTTGATTGATTAAAAACTAGTTTTACCTATGGTATTTTTTTCTATTAATGTATTAGGATTTAAGAAATCGTTAATTTTCATGATCATACATATTCTTATTTTTCTTATTTGTATGATAAATTTTGATTAAATTACAAAAGAATAACAAGAGTCTCATTTCATTAATATTAATTAGTTAAATTGCATCAATTGTTATAGTTACTAGATAGTAAAACTAATCTCGTAATTAATGAAACAAACGGTCGATAGAAAAAGAAACTCTAATATAAGAAATTTTTTAGTATAGAAAAAAAAAACAATCAAATGTTAGTGTTTAAAAATTTTCTATCTCAAAAATTAATTAATTTATTTTTTAAATCTCTAAAATCTAAAAATAAAAAAATTATCTTACCAAAATATCCAGTAGTTAACTAATGTTAAATTAGAGGTCAACTATTGGATGTTTTGATAATAAAACTATTATTTTGGATTTGAAAGATTTAAAAATAAATTGATGGGTTACTTGGATATAAAATTTTTTAAAAGATTTTTATGATAATTATCTTTTTTTACCATGATGTGTTATATACGATTCATATACTGTTTTTTGCTTGATACCTTGCAAGACATGCATGTGGTAGAACTTCAAGAATTATTGCAGAAATCAAGCATTCAAGGTCGACACGTGGAATGCATTTAGAGCATATACTAAGAGAAAGTTCGAACAAGAATCTTGATGTTGAAACATACCAATACTTAATAAATGTGTCATTGTAGACGTTGACAGGGCATGCCACGAGGTGCTACATGCAAAATGTGATTTGCTCTATTAATGACGGAGAGGCATGCAGAGTTTAAATGCTCTATTGTAGACACTGACAAGGCACGGAGCGATTAAGTTTTATACTGAGGCCATAGACAAAGTTGCGATTATAATGATGGAGACAATTAAAATTAGAAGAATGTTTATGAAGAGAATTCATAAGAAAGTTGAAGCACTCAACTTCAATGATATGAATTATTATTAGACTTTAAATGCTTGTTTTTCATTATATGTTTGCTTATAAAGTTTTTTTTTTTTTTTTTTTGGGGGGGGGGGGGGGGGGTGGTTGTGGTTCAAATAGATGATCTTACTTGGTATATTGTTATCAAAACCACCTATACACACACACACAAAGAGATCAATTAGCTAACTTTTTCAAAATCAGCTACTTTTATTTATTTTATAACTGGTTTACATGCCTCACGAGTCACAACCTCTTACTACAACACCTACATTAGTATAAATCATTAAACTTATGACAACCTACTGCTACTGCATGCACCTACTACTCATCCATTAAAAGATAAATTTCAGTGTAGAACAATATACAAAAAAACATATGGGTTAACAATATCAAACATAAAAATAAGTGCAAATCCTTCAAAGCCCCAAGTATTGATTTCATTTCATGAATTTCCGTTAATTCCTTTCTCTTCTTCTCTCAACCCCTCACTATCAATCGTAACCCTTTGAAGCTTGATCACTGCTAGTGGGTTAATTGGTTCCCAAAGTTAATGAACTCACATCTCTTACAATAAAAAAAGAGCTTATTTGGATTTTTCTTTGACTCAAAGATCCTCTTCAATGCCTTTACGACCGTAACTAGTAGCTATAATATTTGTTGACATATTTGAAGTACATTCTGAAATTGCTCTAGTTTTAATAGAATATTGAATTAAAGATAAAGATATATTGTCAAATACTCGATGGATATGTTTGCGGATATTAAGGGTTAGTACTCATTTTGAATAGCTTTAAGATTTTAATTGATTTAGATCGAAAAATTTGTAAAAAAGTTAAAGAAATCATTTTTTTTTTTAAGAGGGGGATGGTTGATGGAGGTGGTTTGGTTGTAGATTGGAATGGCAATGGCCATCCTCACCCCTGCCCTTGCACTTGACAAGCTTTGCCCATTGTCCCATACGAGGTGAAATTTCTCCTACTATCCTCATCCTTCACCAGGACAGAGATTCTCACAACGAATTTATATCATTTTATCACATATCATCATGTACTAAATTTCAACTATAATAAAAATATAATAATCTATATAAAAAATATAATTAAAATAGACAATCATTTAACATCTTATTCAACTATAAGTTTACAAAACAACTCAAAATATATTAAATTATTTTTAATTAAATAAATAATATATTTAATTAAGTTGATAAAACATCACAATCGTTAATATTAAAAATGTAATTAAAAATAAATAAATAAATTCTTGTATATATTTATTGTTCAGAGATCATTAAATAAATTTTTATATATCTTTATTGTTCAGATTATCAAATCTCATTTATTATATTAGAGAATAATTTGTAATTTCAAAATTTATATACACATCGAATGTAATTATAACTTTTTTAAAAAATATAAGATGGATAAATATCGTTTCGTTCAAAATTAATATAGAGTGAGACATCCCACCTCGTTCCCCGTTCAATTCAGAAAATCTTCGCATTAATCGTTGCGAGACGAGACCTTGCTTGGACAGAGCAAATTGCCATCTCTAATTATAGATGAGGTGGGGTTGGGAAATCGATTTGGAGATGAAAGGAAAACTTAGCTCATTTTAGAGGAAAAACTGATAACACGTGTTGTTGATAGAAAAAGAAAATAGAAAAAAAGAGCAAAGCGTGTGCATTGGGTGGTAAAGTTGGTGGACCATATGTCATGTTTTAAGACCATCATGTGACATCCGGATAGTTAATGTCAAGCAAATAATCCAAAGATCCATTATTAATAGTGGTTAACTTAATTTTTTTTAAAGATCACGGATCTATAGTCGTTTGATTGAAAATTCACGAAACTTTGAGGTCATTTTCCCGAAGAAAACAAAAAAAGGTTTTGGCCGATGAGACTTAGAAGTAGTCAATTTTTTCGATTCGCACACTCTTATTATTTAAATAAAATAAGACGTATGATATTTATAATTTCATCATTAAATTTAATTATATAATCTAGATTAGGCCAGAGAGAAAACAAATTGCAATTAAAGTATTATTAATTTTTAACATACTTAAACCCTGTCTTTTTATTTTAAATTTGATGATTTAATTTATAAAAAAATGACATAAGGTTGAATTATTGAATAGCATTCGTCTTTTTTTTATAAAAAAAATAACGTTGTTTTTATTTTCCTTAGGAAATGAGCATCCGCTCAGAAAACAAGTGCAATAAGAGAATTCAAACAAAATGTAGATGGATGAATTATCCTTTTCTTATTTAGGTTGCACGACTAGAGTTTTCGAGATTTGAAATCCTAAAATAATTTCTCTATCTTTCTAGGGAATGGTGATCAATATCCTATGAATTCAACAGGCTAAAGCAAACGATTTCTACCGTTACTGAGAAAGAACGAGAACATCGTGATGCCTAATTATGACGAGTGCCTTCAGCATGCCTTCGAAAGATGGAATGCAACAAAATCACTAGTTTCGTCAGACCAATCGCTGCTCAATGTCTATCTAGTACGAGTTTGGCCCGCCACCATAATAGGGTTTTAGAATGTGCGAAATATGATATGATTAATTATTATTATCATATGAAGTACCCCAAGTGGATCCCAGACGGCCCGTTATATACTTGGATGGATGGATACAAACCCTGCAATTTTGCCCCTGTTTCTTGCTCCATCTGATGCATCACCTGGAAGGCCAAATTAATAACATCTTCTGGCAAGTTCCAAAGAAAAAAACAAACCGCAGATCGAGCTTGAAGCAGGTTAGAAATGTAGCTTCCAAAGTGTTGCAAGCACTGGTTTAGCGCTATATAAGAGTATAATTGAAACAAAGAGAAAAGATGGGAGAAAATAAATATTCCTTCACATTAATGAATGAACTGCCAAGCATTTTTATATATTAAATCAAGTAAAGTAGGAATTTGCTTATTCTGTAATCATCTTCACAATCTTAATCATGTGGTTGTATAGTGTTATTAATTGGACATCACATGAAAAATGGAAAATAAATTTAAATTAAACCCTATTCTATACTTCTCATTTGCCCAGCACCTCAACTTGAGTAATTACATGGTCCTACGTAAGCCTTACGGCTTTTCATAGGAGTTGTGGTCGGTTCCACCATGATTCATTTGTTTCCTCTCCTCTGCTTTCTGGTTTCTTCTTTCTGTTCAAAAATTTTATCCTCCTTTATATGTCGGAGTTTCACGATCGTTAACTAACATGACAAAATGAATATGAATAGTATGATCTAACTTTCTCGAGTTCCCTTTGAAACTCTCATGACGATACTCCTTGTCTCTTAAAGAAAGGTTTCTGGCAGATAAGGAGTCTATCGTCACTGTTACTTTCGATTTCTATAACTCGTGCATCCCACTTCAGCTTTGTAGTGAGCATTCTTGCTGATTCAACAAGTGTACCTGTGTCACGGATTACCACCCAACCCTGCATTCAATCACCAACAACAGCGCATCTAAATTCTCCTGGCACATAAACTAGCTCAAAAAATCTAACTGCACAATGATGTTAGAAAATGAAGTAATAACAATGGAACCCAATTTACGTATTGCTGCCTATGATCATGGCAAAATTAACCATGTGTACCAATTACTTGGCCTGTCTCGGAAAAAAGTCCTGTTCCGTGTTAGCCGCAATAATTACATGATACAAAATTTCAAATAGAGGACAGTTTGAATTGGATACCTCTGGACGAAGTAGGCGATCCATCTCGGTGAATAGATCCAGCATGGTGCACCTGCGCTGCTGATGGGTTTGAAGGGATAACAGTCCTTCAGCATGCACTAAATCATAACTTCTAGGATAAGTTGGGAATGGCTCACACCTTACATGGAAATAATCCATCAAATCAGTTGAAAAACCAAGCAATAATAAAAGCATAATGGTTAGACTGAGTAGAAGAGTACACAGCACCTAGAGTCAAGACATAAAATAACCTTTCCTCTTTCTTGAATCCTGATTCTAGTCAAGGACCAAACTTGACCTCTTCAGCAACTGATGAGACTAAAAATTCAGTTTGACCTACTCTCTGTTACAAAGTCGACTATATGCATAACAAAATTCGAAAATGAGCAATTAAAACCCAAAGAAGTATCTAGTATGAATATTCTCCAACCTGCATTGTCTTCCCAACTTGGTCCTTTAATTCCTCCAATTACTTAGGAGTAACTATTGTAACTGAGTCCAAAGTGAACAAAAGGAATTGATCTCTGAAGAACAGTAAAATTAAAATTGCACAATTCTAGTTTTTCCTATCAGCACTTCCACAATTAGACCTTATAGCCAGCATTGTTAATCATTAGTACTGGAACATGAAGCCTAAACTAGCCCCAAAGTTATGTTATTTCTCTTATATGTTCATGATAACCAAACAAGAAGAAAGATACAAGCGGGCAATCAAATGGACTGTGTGAAGGAGAAGGGGCGGGGTGTATGTGTTGGGTTGGGGAGCATCTAAATGACAAATTGGAAGAGGAAGGTCAGGTAAAGAGTAGATAACCAAACACAGAGGAAAAATCAGAATAGCGTATTTCCAATCTAGCACAAAATGCACTAACACTCTCCAGAATCATCATTCAGCAAAATAACCAACATTGCATCTGATAGTTAAAGTAGCCAATTCCAGAAAGACAAGAATGTGAAAATAGAAATATTATCTGTCCATGGATAAACTAAAAAGGGGAAGAAGTAGATGATAGAATTACCAATCATGCAGTACACCAACAAAGCCTCTGTCCAGTATCAAGGGAAGGTAGTTTGGTCCAACAGTTGGCACCACATTCATTACCCATACAGACTTCCCAGCTTCTAGTAGTGCAGAATTTAAACCGCCAAAATGAGCGTTCATGTCTAGTACATTTCGGACCATGTTATAAGGTGGAGAAGGATCCTCTTCACCAGGTCTCTTTGGATGATCAGAGAATATTATTGGTGACAAAACAGACCAATAATTAGTGACTGTTGTTTTCCAGTTCTCTGCATCTTCCCTAAAGTCTTCTGGATGCAGACCTGATAAGACATAGAGAACAAGAACATAAGATAAGGTAAAGGGCATACCGGGTATAGATATTTATACTCAGTTCTATATTACGTAGCTTATCCACTAAGATGCTGTTCAAAATCATTTAAAAAAGGGATCAATTACCATATAATGCAAGCTCGCTCTTGTTCAAGTGAGACCTAGAAGGCCAGGTTGTCTTCTCTTGGATAGGAATCCATCGGCGACTCTGCGTTCCAGCTATGCACCCTTGGAGTGGTCGATAATAAGGAGATTCGACATCGTGACCTTTACTGCAGAGGGAAGGGCCAGCACCAGGCTTCCTAGAATAGAAAAGCGGTTTATCAGAACCACCCTTAGTATCATGTACTGTAGAAGATATTTATGCAAAGATTTTTTTTTAACAGATGTATGCATCTATGCATATGCACGTCCTTTATGTATTATACCGAGGAGCAAATTCAACCAACATGATCCAATTTTTTTCTTACCGGGAACTGTAGCAGCTTTTTTTGCTAGTCTTTTTCCATACAACAGTTTCATCTTGTTGTGACAACATCTCCCAGCAAAGATTGTCTGCAAAATCACGCACGAAGTTCCACCTTTTCTGGTTCTCTTTGTTGCGAGCATTGGTAAGAGGTGAAGTCCAGACAAAATACCCCCCGGGCTTCAAGACTCTGTCAGCTTCAATCAAAAACATACCATCTGTGGAATGTAATCTGAACATTAGTAGTTTTATATGACCAGTTTCAACAATTTACTCTGAGGTATTTGATGCAAAAATAAGCTAATTCTATGAGATAACTAAAACTAAGATTGGTGTGCTGCAATGACTGAATTTCACACAATAAATAGAAAATAAGATTCTGAAGTTAACAGTTGCAGGCATGTTGTTAGAAGATTGTCTAGTCTTTTCGACAGACATTTTCCAGCAATCAGATTTAAAACCAAGTAACTCACTGGAGGACAGTAATTAGCAGCGTATGAGTTGTGTTCACTTATTCAACCTCTCGACCTCCCAAATGAATATTAAAATTAAATATGAAGTTGGCAAGGTAGTACTTCAGTGATTCCTTTATGATTGATATGCAATATCAGATCTTGAAAAGGGCACAGGGAGTGGAAATTGGAGAAATATATGGTGATCATGGTTATCATTGTTCAATAGTAATTCGTAACTTGCATTCCTTATCCAGCTCTTAGCTATACAAGGTTTTGATAATCTACTACTGTGTTACTTCTACAGTTATTATTACTATTTTTATTTTTATTTTTGGAACCGTGTTACTTTTACAGTTATTGTGAACGCTAAATTTACAGAATTTTCCTGTCAAATATTTAGGGAAGTGAATTTTAAGCAAAAGATAGAACTCATAATTGACATTTACAGAATTTCAAGATGTGATATGCATTCATATTTGTATTCATTTATGTTCCACAGTAATTGTCACAATGATCACTAAATATGGCCTCAGAACTAATACCTTTCTGGTCCCAATCAACACCACATCGTGCACAATGCAACATATCAAAGGAAAGAGAAGGATATGGCAATTGATTCGAAGTAAAAGAACCAATCATTGCAGGAAGACCTCTTTCCAGAGTAAGTTGAACTTGACTGCCTGAAGGCTCATAGTTTGCAATGCACATAGTTAAGAGCTGCTTCGAAAAGAGATGTGCTCCAAAGCTACCATAGCCACATCCTATATCCAAAATGGTTCTTACCTGCATGAATCAGGAAATAAACATGGGTAATTATTATATGCATTGCACATAAAGCATAACTAGCATCAGATGGCTACAGAGCACAAGTAAGCTGCAAAATTTCCATTCTTGACAGCATTGGACATCATGCTGTCATAGAGCACTAAAATGGTTTCTTCTTCTTCTTCCTTTTTCAACTTTTCCTTTTCCTTTTGATAACTAATCAAAGAGCACCAACATGTTTTATAGAATACAGACTGCATATTGCTCTAATCCTGTTTTCTAATTAAAAAGCTGTAAATTTGAAAACTAGTTACTCCAGCAGTCTATTAAAAAAGGCTTCTCCTTACTAATTATCCGAATCACTCTGCATCCAGTACCAGATTACAGTAATGCTATCTTATTTATTAAAACTAAGACAGTATATGGGATAGAACCAAACTCATATTATGGTTCCCAAGAGGGAAACAAATTTTACAGGCTTACCCCAGCTTGTACAAAGTTAGATTCATTTCTCAGTCCAATCATTTCAGCAATTTGATGTGAGTAATCTTCAACACCATCAAACATGGGAGAGACTGAACGAAAAGAAATCTGCTCTTCATCCAACATCATCATCCTGGCAATCGCAGTAACAGAGAAATCAACGGTGGATAACTAGGAAATAGAAGTGTAATACAGTAACGTTCATTCACTCACCTCTTTGTTAAACTACCAGAGGAAAGAACCTCCTGTGCGGTAAGTTTTACATTTGCGACCCAGATGATGTCTCTTCCTGTAGGCCAACGAAGAGGAATCCTATAATTTACCGGTGGAAGAACCAGGCAACTTTCGCTCAAACTGTGGCCACAATGACGATCATTCTCGCTGCCATCAGAATATCCCAAAGCAAGATTCTCCGAAACATTGAAGCAAGGAACATAGTTTTCAGACTCTTCAGAACAGAATTCCAATTCTTGCAACCTCGAGGAACCAAGAGATAGCTCTCCAATATCCCACAGGTCTGAAACAAGTTGCTCCTGGAGTCGCCTATAATTATGTAATATTTGACCTCTTGACAATGTCGATATTGAGATAGTCCACCAAAAAGATCCAGTAAGAGCAAGAATTACAATCACAGCTAAGCTCAGCTTCAAAAGTAGCAATGTCAGTTTTTGCCGGCTTCTTGGACTCCCGACACTGAATGGATCAGATGCAAAGCCATTTTCTCCATTCCCGTATTTGGAAGGAGAATTATTATCAGGGAAAAGTAACCGAAAAGGAAACCTCAGTGCTAAATAACTTTGATCAGAAGAACGATTCCTATCCATATCTTCCTTTTCTGTTTTATCTTTCATTTGGGAGTCCCACAGATCATTGCTGTTCCCAGAGATCCGTATCCCTGTTACACCTCGATGCAGAGGCCTGGACATTCTATAACCTGAAAAACAAAACAATAATTAAACTATGGAAATAAAGCTAAGCTCACTAAATTCTCACCTGGAATTGCAATAGAGAAACAGAGAAATTCAGAGAAGAATTTCTCAAATAAGCTAAAAAAGCAGAGAACAAAAGGACCGACCAAAATTAATTTTCCTCGAACGAGCTAAAAGAAAGGAAGAAAATGGAATCTCAGTTCATGGTCATTCCAGCAAATGATGCAAGATCCAAAACCCAAGAGAAAAAATAGAGACAATGAAAATAAACTGCTACTATTTAAAGGAATAAACTTTATTGGCAATTCTGAGACTAAACACATAAAAGGAAAAAAAGAAAGGCAATTGAGATTCAAAGACAAGCAAAGCAGATACATTTCAAAATAAGATAATCGCTTTTGATTCCATGGAGCGTCTTAACCTTTGATATGTATATATGCACAAGTGCAAGTTCAATTCTAGTGAGAGAATTTACTTCATTTCAGTATCTCACTAAAAAAATGACCTATAACCCACACAGATCAATCCAGTAAACTAATAAAAAAGAAAGAAATATCATCATTTCACAATCCAAACAAATCTAGCAAAAGAGAAAGAGAAAGGCAAGTACTTTAAAAAGAAGAAAAACACTACCTTATATGGGCACAAGTGAAAATACAAGTTTTTTTTTTTGTTGAGAACCAGAAGAAAAAAACCCTGAAATCAGCAAGAATTCATGGATGGAGTAATTAAACATAAACCCAGAAGCAGCTTTTGTTGTTGAAGATTACTTCTTCTAACTGCAAATGCTTTCTTTCTATTTGGCTCTCTCTCACTTCCAACTTTTCACTGATGGAATAGAGAGGGAGGGAGATGATTTGTATGGATCCAATCACGACAGAGCTCCCGTGAGAACTGAAAACTCTCCCGTTTATATAGTACTTCCTTTGAGATTTGAAGGTACTTAAGCTAAAAAATACTACTGCAACAGCAGTAGTTTACAGCTGCTGATTCTTTTTCTTCTTATTTACTATATTATTTATTAGTAATTAATAAAAAGGTAAACAATAATAAATGAGGATGTACTCCAATTTACTATCGATTAACTCCCCTGTTAAGACAAGCTTATCTCCTATCATCACCAGACTCCAATCCCACCTGTAATTCCTCAATTAATTTAAAAGAACCATCCATTAAATACTACCATTTCCCACTCAAAATTAGTAATGTAGTACCCCACTACATTAAATTTTATTTTTTTCTTTAAAAAACCCAACTTGCTCACTAGTGACTAAAGCGCTCTCCCTCTCCCTCTCACTCTGTATCTTATGAGCTTTAAATGAGATCATTTTGGGATCAGCTCTTTGTGCTTATATCTATGATGGTTTATATATTACGCTGCATAAGAAGCTAGCATTTTGGTGCGATTTTTTTTTTTTTTTTTTTTTGCAAATGAAAAAAAAAAAAAAGGAATTTACTATGGGTACGTGTAGATCTGAGGGACAGGGAGAGTGTGACAGTAGACCCGGAAACATTTAATAAGTTTTTTATGCCCAAATTATTTATGAGATCACGTTTGACTTGCGCCCGAAATGCCGGACGTTATATATCATATGCATACGCACAGACAAATAACAACAACTTGACACTTGCATCCATGCTTTCTGTAATTAGTGTTTAGTAAATTAATAATCTAACTAATGGCTCCACTAAATTAATGTCGTGGGAGCTTAAAATGTGGTGAGGGGAGAGGATTAAAGAATAGATCAAGGTATGGTAATTGAATAGGCTTTAAAATGTTGTCGTTGCAATGATAATGTTGACGAAAGGATGACCTTTTTACGTCCGAAAGATCACAATCTAAGACAAATTTTCAACACGTAATTACTGGCGGTAATCATTCCAAGATGTGGCTATAGGGTTCAAGAGATCCAAATGGCACTAAGGCACCTATGGCCATTTACTATATTTTTTTTATAAAAAACAAAACGAAAAGTGCTAAAACGAAATGTACAAAATAAATAGGATTGAGAGGTTAAAGGTTTCACGAAAGCATTGAATATTTCAAATGAAAAAAATAATAACGCAAGAGTATTTATATTATTTATGGACCAATCGAAAAGAGAAAATCCAAAGATTAGAGTAATTAAAAAAAAAAAAGAATTGGACCCGGAATCATACGATTTCTTAATTGTCACAGCCAAAGATATAATATATATATTCATGAGAAATAGAAATAGAAAAGAGAGGGTCACATGGAAACGAGAGTCAATTTTCGCATACTCGAATTGCTAGTTTGTTAAATTTTCGTTTTGAGATGGAAGCGTGGTCCCCCACTCTGCCGCGTTTCTCCGTCGGTGGACCGAATGTGTGACGTGTCGGCTGTATGTAGGCCAGCTCTAAGTAGATTTGTTACAGAGGATACCTATCCTTGGTTTTATTTGTTTATTCCTCCAGTGTTTAGGATAGGACTCGTGGGCTGTTCTGTTTTGTAAATTTTGTTGGTTTGCGGTGGTGGTGGATTAAACGCGGAATTGGGAATTGAAAAGCTTTTTCACGAGATTGAATTTTTGAAGCCTTTGAATTTGATGGGCTGCTGCTGATCTTTTGACCTGGACAAAATTTTGGTCACGGGAACTAGTACAACTTGGACTGACCTGGCAGTGGATTTTGCTAGTAATATAGTTTTCGTGATTTGCATGCCCGATATTAATGCAGGTAACAGTAGGTAACAGAGTCCCACCGGTAACCGATGCGATTAATCTCACCCTTTTTTTACTACCTTTTCATCTCAATCTTCTTTTTTCTGATCATTTTCATCTCAACCTTTCTCTCTTAAACCTTACGGTTTATTTTTATATTCCCGGACGTTGTCTGCTATGTCTTCGAGTGTATTGCCTCATGTTTTTATATTCAATTTGCAATTAATTTTTCAATAGATTTATTTTTTTAACAACTTGGAGTATCCTTGAACTTACTAATGTAATCAAAATTAAGTTAATTGTTTTATTCGTATAAAAAAAGTATCTATATATTAAAACAACAAAATTCATTATGTTTTTTTTTTAATATCAAAATGACTCACAACTAAAGATTTTTTTCTAATAAGAAAACACGAAAGAAAGAGAGAAAGATAAAGAAGTATGAGCCAAATAATACTATGTTATTCCTTGCAAGGACCAAAATTGTTATAGATTTTGGATTAAAATATAACTTAAAAAAAAACTCTAAAATGAAACATTTTATAGAAAAGCTATGAAGCTTATACTATAAGATAATTATTAAACTTCAAGTACACGTAGAAGAACGACTTGAAAGGGATTTTGTCGTTAACAAAGGAAAATTAAGTATGTAAAGACTCATGGAAGACAAATTATAAAATACTACAATATCGAGCCGTGTCTCCTTTCTCTAGTATTTGTATTCTGTAGCTAGGTGGTACCTTGCTTTTATCTTCTAAGATTAAATTCACTCGTCTAATGCGGTTAAAGATTCGAGGGTAGATTCGCAGAACTGCTCGAGAACCAAAGGGACCATAACTCACCGAAAAAAATAATAATTATGTTTTTCAATTTATATCAAGGTTCGAATCTTGAATTATAACATGAGATAATAAATAAATTACCAGACAAGCTCGGCCTCTAAAGATAAAGCTAAGCCTGAAAAAAGTAATTGGTGAATAACGATGGATGCCAACATTCAAAATCTATGGTATAAAATGAGTTGCAATTCCTGTTACCTCGTTCTTATCCTACTGCCCACGCAAGAATACAATGTTCGATTTGGTTTGTTATGCTTTATTTTGAGTGGGGGTAGAAGCCCGGGTAGTGAAAGGACGATTGCGAGTACAGGAAATCCACAATCAAACATGAGGAGTCCATTCATGAATTGAAAAATGGGTTTATAAATAGATTGATGTATCCCGTAATTAATCAATCAACGATCCTTTAGCTTGGAATGAGAATGGTTTTGGAACCCAACGAAGCTCGGAGTTGTTATCAAGTGACACTTATCAACTTGGAACTTATTGGGGGTGATGGCAACCAATGTGAGAAAGTTATTCTCTTGCTTGCAAGGAAGATTGCGAAAGAGCGGCAATTTGTATTTATTTGTTTGTGGCCAAGACTATATATATATATATATATATCCCACGTCAGAAGTCAAATTCGATCCCTACTAAGTGCATTGTGTCACGATTCAAAGTCATTTCCGTAGTTAAATATTTCATTTATAATCTTCTCCCATAGTTGGACCAGAAGGATGGACAAAGAGATCTGAATTCGACTAGTTAACTTCTCCAGGTATGATACAGCTCCAATTCCAAGTAAGTTAAAAACAAGAGAAAAGACAGAAGAAGCTGGAGAGAGGTTTCGATGGAAGAAGAAGGAGAATGATTCTATTAACCATAAAATGATTTCCCGCGCTTCCCTCGTCCTCTAATGTCAGTTAACAACTTAGCTAGCGATTTCAACTAATTGCTCTTCTAACTACTAACAAACAACTAAACTTGTAATTAATTTTTTTAGCTACTAATATCTCATGCAACACAAGACGCTCTTGTCAACATGTTACTAAACTGTCGTTCGCTCATTCGTTAAGAAAGGTTTGCAAGAGGTACTGGCCAAAAATAAAAGAAATTTTTTTTTCTCAACAAACAAGGAATTGATTTGGGCATGGCTAACTCGAGTGGCAAGAGGAATGAAATTCATAAAAGAATTTTATGGAAAGTTTAATGACGAGTTAGATTAAGGAATACGTTTTTTAAAGGAGAATTGGCATCCAGATATGAAGAATGGCCTATAAGTTCAGTTCATATAAAAAAATGCAGCCCATTCCCAAAATGGACCCACAGGACGGAAATAAATTTAGCAACACTACTTACCTTCGCAACCAAAATTTATACCCTGCATTGCGTCCTTGGAATTATAATCCTCTTTGTAGTGTCCCAGCGTAACTTGGGAAAGCTGCCATTGTCGGGTTGCTTTGCTGCAACAATTGTCTTTCTTTATCCTTTGTTT